CAATGTCATTTAAACATTTGAAGACTATAAAGAATGCATCAAACTTCCAGTTCAGGCTACAAGAAGAAGAGCGCCTTTCTATGTTGGCAAACAATACCACCTTAAATTCCATTCACTAAACTCAACTAAAAATCAATGTATTAACTTCATCATCCAATTCATAATATTTAATATACATCTACCTATACTATTAATGAACAACATCAACATACAGTAAGTCACACTGCCTTGTTCAAAGTAATCCTAAAACTGAGTATATTGGCAAGATTATTGGCAAGTAACTGACTGAAATTTCACTTCCTTTTCTCAGGATACACTAAACAAACATCTTTTTGCATGTAAATAAATTGTAAAATATAATAAGTTTATTAAAACCATTATTATACAACGACAACTTTCTGAGAAGCAAAGTATGGTAGAACCCTGCTAACTCGAACTCTGAAGGGAAACGAAAATCTGGTCGAGTTAGCAGGGTTTCGAGTTATCGGGGTCGATTAAAATATTCAATTTTTTAGGTTAATAATTAAAAGTTTATTGATTTTGGGCACTTTGGTATACAATGTAGTGCAAATTACGGATATTAAACTTATTTCAAGAAAAAAAATACATTTTAAACTGTAACGATAAACTGCAACGACTGTAAATGTAACTGTATGTAACATTCTTACTGGTTCTTATTGTTCAGTGGTGATTGCATTTTAGACCCAAAAAAAGAAAGCAGTGTCTGCTGTCTTTGGGAGCTCCTGAAGTTTCGTTCTGCCAATGCCTCTATTTTCTGTACATGGCTTCTGATTTCCTCTACTCTCTCGTTCACGAACAGACTGTATGAAGTCAGCAAATCAATTGCGGATCTGACTTCGCTTGCCGTATGTTTCTTGGGGCATTCTTCTAGGACCTCAACTTCATCTGTTTCTTCTTCCTCTTTCATTGCCTCCTGATCACTACTGAATTCTGCCAGAATCTCTTCGTCTGTCAACGAACCCGACTCCGAGGTGGATACGGTGTCATTGATGCCGATTACATTGTCTGCGTTAACATTCGCAGGTAGAGCTTCAGGATAGGCTTCTCTTAAAGACTGTATTTCCTCGCTTAGGAATGCAAAGGGGTTGTCCAGATCATTAATGGCAATTGTCTGTGCCTCACTGCAAATACCTGCCTTTTTGAAGCAATTCTTGATTGTTTCAGGCGTTACTTTCTTCCATGACCTTGTTAAGATCATCACGGCATCCAAAACAGAAATATTTGGAGCACCCTTCCCCTTCTCTACTGCATCAATATACCTTCTCACCACAGACGCACGGTAATATGCCTCCGTTGCCTTTATGACACCTTGGTCCATAGGTTGGGTCTTGCATGTAGTGTTCGGTGGTAAAAACACTAAATGTATGGCCTTGAGGTCTGCAACATCCGGGTGGGCGGGGCAGTTGTTGACTACAAGGGCTACCTTTCTACCCTTGCGTTCAAACTTCCGGTCTTGCTCTCTTACCCAATCCTCAAAAAGTTGGCTGTCCATCCAGCTTTTGTTCTGTGCCCGGTACCTGCAGGGGAGATTTCGCACTCCATTGAAACACCTTGGTTTCTTTGACTTGCCTATAACGAACATGGGTAGCTTCTCTCCTGTGGCACTAACAGCTGCAAGTCCAGTTAGGTGTACTTTACTGCATTTCCCTCCAACACAATCTTCAGATTTCAGATGCATCAACTTGTCTGGTAAGGCTTTGTAAAATAGGCCAAACTCATCAGCGTTGAATATGTCACGAAGGGCGTAATTTGAGAAAAGCGTTGGAAGGGTGGATTCTTTCCAAGAAGCTGTCATCTCTAAGGTGCACGACTGCGCTTAGCCCACAATTGCCTTAAAGGCAACCCCATGGCGACTCTTCCATCGATCGAACCAGCCGTTGGAAGCAATGAAATCCTTAATGTCCATCTCTTTAGCATAACTGAGTGCCTTCTCCCTCAGTACCGGGCCACTAACGGGTACACCTTACCGCCTCATCTGAACAAACCATGTATACAAAGCCTGTTCTAGGTTTTCATTTCCACATGGCTTTAATTTCTGCGTCTTCGAGCTGGTTCCTTCTTCAAAAGCCTTCACGATTTTATCCTTGCTTTGAAGCCATGTTGACAGAGTACTAGGGGAAACATCATAATCTGCGGCTACGTTTTTGTTTGCACATCCACTTTCGAGTTTCTTTATCACTTCATACTTCTCTTTCAATGTTTTCAAAGAAATCTTTCGCTTTTAAGAAGACAACATCGTGACAAAGTGGATAGTAAAACCGGAAACGGTCATAGTCCAGATAAGAACCGAGCCGACCTGTCAATCAGTAAAATATTTAGCGCAGTCCAGGTATTATTTTATAGAAGCCTTTTGTGTAGGTCACAAAAAGCTCGCTAAGAAAAAACCCCACACACCTTTGAGTCAGAGCAAGAAAGGATAAATGCTAGGTACTGTGACCTGAAAAAGAATAAGGTAGTGAAGTTTGCAAAGAATAGCCTGGGCTCTTTGAAATTTGCATCGACATTTTTGACGTAAAAGTACAGATAACGTTTTCACACCTCTTGGTACTTTGACAACTGCATCAAGTTTCAACGCAGCGGCACTGTAATCGACATGTGCAGTCCATTTTCCCCGGGCACATTTTATTATTGGTTCGTCACATTATACACAGCCAAATATCAGCCGAACATCATGCAGCCAAGCAGTTCTTTTGAAATTGATTCGCATGTGAAGGGATATCACGCTTATTTAGATGACTGGAAACCATGCTGGGAGGAAGTTCTGCAAGCAATACCAGAACCAAACAATGCTGTAGATAAATACGCGGTGTGTGTCCTAAAAGATGGTGAAGTGGTGGGCCATTTGAAGAGAGAAAAACTTGGATGCTTTGCTAAAACAATCTTCTATTTTCTTGAAGCAGACCAGCATAGTTCCTGTAGTGTGATCATAAAAGCCGACAAAGCTGTTAACTTTGGGGATGGAGAGGGGATGCAAGTCCCATGTAAGCTGAGAATCTCTGGTCAAGAGAAATTTGTCAACATTTTGAAGAAGGAGTTGGAACGCCTTGAGAAGTGAGCATTATGCAATGTACTGTTCAGCACCTGAAGAACTCTCCAGCTTAAATGCCTAATGTTTTTTTACAGACATTTTAATGGATACTTTTTTAATGCACTGTACACTGTAGCACTGTTTCTTTCAAGTTTTGTGACAGCAAATACACCGCATCCGGTATGACTCTTATGATCACATGTAACTGTCAATTACGTGATCTGTTCGTTTGACTAATTAACATCAAATTGCTCCAGTCTTTGTTCTAGTGTTAGAGTTCGATCACACAATACACCCTATGCAGAATGAAAAGAGACTGGGAGCGATCAACTTGAAAACAAGGCTAGTTGGGCCTGGTAAATAAAAATGGCTGCCTGATGTGAAGGGCGCCAGTTTTTAAAAATGCCGCAAAATTGTTGTGTTCCAAACTGTACCAAAAAGAATTACAGAACCGAAAACGGGGAGAAAATTTCTTACTTGAAGTTTCCAGACGACGTTATCGTCAAAAAACGTTGGCTCCATGCCATTCGTCGAGACGAAGGAAAAGCGTTTAGAGTCAACCAAAACACAAAGATCTGTTCTCGTCATTTTGAGCCCGAGGACTTGGTTAAAGCTATTGGAGGTCAACGTGTTTATGTAAAGGCAGGGGTAATTCCATCTCGATTTTCGTGGTCCAAAGGTTCTCCGAAAAAGCGAGCACCTCCTAAATGTCGCAATCTTTCGTCTACAACAGAGTGTTCAAACAAGGAGTTGCAATCATCTCAAAGTCAAACAACTGCAGATGCAGCTGAAGCATCTTCTGAAACCTGTACTTTATCAGCAGCTTTTAGTTATCATGATGTGGAAAACAGCTTAAGTTCGTGTGAAGATCAAACAGAAGAAGTTAAAAAACTTGAAGGAATTCGAGGTTTTGAACTTGAAAATGCGAAGTTAAAGGCTGAAATAGAGGTATTAATACGCCAGAGGAGCCTTAAAGATTCCCGCCTTTTTCAGATACGCAATTTTACTACCAACGAGGACATTGCCTTTTATACGGGATTTCCTGATTTAGCAACATTTAATGTTGTGTTTGAATTTTTAAATACTAGATCGAAAGGGGAAAACATTAGGTACTGTTCATCAAAAGAAAGAACTGTCCAAAAGGAGTTTTACGTTAGTGGAAAATATGGAACCAGAGGGATGTACTAGCATAGGTAGATGAAGAATCTTAGAACCCAGAGAGGAGTTCTTCCTTGTTCTTTGCAGACTGAGAAGGGGATTTGCAGAAAAACATCTAGCTCACTTGTTTGGTATTTCGCAGTCGACAGTAAGCAGAACATTCCTTTCTTGGATAAATTACATGTATTTAAAATTTGGTCAAGTATCTATATGGCCTAATAGGGAGGTTATAAGAGCTACAATGCCTGACAGCTTTAAAGAGAAATACTCTTGCACCCGTGTAATAATCGATTGTACAGAAATTAGATGCCAAATGCCTTCCAGCCTTCTGCTGAATTCCAAATTGTTCAGCTCCTATAAGAACCATGTAACTCTAAAAGGCTTAGTTGGAATTGCTCCCAGTGGAGCTATAACTTTTATCAGTCAGCTATATAGTGGAAGCATTTCCGATCGCGAAATTGTTGAACGAAGTGGTTTCCTGAAGTTAGAATTTGACAATGGTGACATCGTGATGGCCAATAAAGGTTTTACAATTGAAGACCTACTCCCACTAGGTGTAACCCTAAACATTCCCCCCTTTTTAGGGTCTAATAGCCAAATGACAGCAGAAGATGTTATCAAGACTCAAGAAATTGCTTCTGTTAGAGTACACGTTGAACGGGCCATCAATAAAATCAAGAATTTTCACTTATGGGATAGTGTTGTACCCCTCAGTTTGTTTGGGGTAGTAAACCAAATGTGGAGTGTCTGTGCCTTTTTATGTAACATTCAGGACCCTCTTATTTCCACTTAACGCTGAGTTAGGCAGAGCTCTGAGGCACACTACAGAATTTCAGTCAATTTAATAAATGTAAACCTGCTTATCCACCTCAGGTCAAATATTCTCTAAACCAACTAAAACTAAGAATGTGATTCGCTTTGCTTTCAGTCCCAAACACTTAAAAGATGTCAGCTTTTACATGTAGTTCTAAAGATCTTAAAATCAAAGAATAAAGAAAGTTATGTTATTATACAGACCATGTTGGTTGATACTCTGTTTTAAACATATCAAGTTAGGTATGAGACAAAATTTCTCTGTACTCGTTCCAAGATTAGATTAGGGTAGTTAACCCTTCTACTGGTTACTGAACTCCACAGAAGCTGGTGCTATGAAATGTTCAAAATACCTCTTCTTTAGGCCTTCATTAAATACGTCCCAGAATTGAGGATCAGATGTGATCCTCCCTATACTCATGCCTTTGTTAGTATAGATAACAAAGTCACACCAACTTGCTCCTGTAATACCCAGTTGACCCTGTATCTGAGAGTAGTACTGGTGCCCCCTTTTTAGCCTCGGCTTTCCATTTCCATTTTCTGCATAAAAAGTTTCATCGGCACATGCTTCTAAAGGACTCACATGAAATTTAGAGTAGGGACGTTTAACCTCTACCAGCCCAAAAGGCCTGCTACAGCCTCGGTCAATGACCTTGCCATCTGGTGCTGCTGCTAAAAAGGGAGGGGCCATACTGACAACAAGGCCACTTTTGAACACTGAAACTGGGTTCTTTGTTGAAAACATATATTTTTCATATTCTCTTAATATGTGCAGTTTGTTTGGCAGTGAATGGTTTGAGATGAAGCAGATTATTTACTAGAGTGTTATGATTCCTTTGCCTTTTTACAATTGTGTGGAAATTAGATGCTGTATACCGAAATTTCCTTTCAGCCTGCCATTCCTGTGAGGCTGCTTGTTCACTTGTTTTCTTCTCTATGGTATTAAGCTTTGCCTCATCAACAATCAAATGATCCAGGAGTGCTTCCTGGTTGCTGCTTAAATCATCTGGCTTTTCATACTGCTCAGATTGTTGCAAAGGGAATGGAGGATATACGGAAATAGCATTTTGTTCATCATTACAGTCCACTCTAGGCACTGAGTCAATATTACAGAAAACTTGAAAATTAGACTCTGTGAACTGTAACTGGTAACTTGCATATGAGCCACTTGGACATTTTCCAAATTTTGTTTCCTGTAAGTTAGTACCACCAGTAGACATAATTTGAGACAAGGCAAACTTAGGGTTGATCTCTTGAAGCTTGTTTTTTAACAAAGCTTCATCAGATGCTTGTGTACCCAAATTTTTCCTAGCTTCATACAACAAGCACCTTACTCCACTATCAGGGTTATACTCTGTGTCTATATTCGACTTTTTTACCTCAAGTTCCATGACAGGTTGGGGCTTGATTTTATCTCCTCTTACAGGCCTGTGCCATAGTTGTAAACTTGAAGTGCATGCCTTAGCTTGTGTCATATCAGATTCATTTTCCAAGTCCTTAATATCTTGACAACAATACAAGCTGAACTTACAGAGTTTCATCATAACAGCAAGCACATGATTGCAAAAACCAACAGATCCTGCTACACATGTACACGAAGCATATTTAACAACTCCACTCACTAAACAAAGTGCAACTTGTAATTTGTGGGGTGGCTCATTTTTTTTAAAGCTATGGTAACACAAGCATTTGAAATAGAAATATTGGTCATCACTTGCGCAAGTTAAGTCTTTCAGGTGTTCATCATAAAGAAATGTTTTTGCCTTTTTCATGCTTGTTGGAACAGCATGGTTCTGTTTATTTCTGTCAAAGTTTTTTCCAGATTTAGAAATATGTAAATCCATCTCTGCCCTTGTGAATAATGGCATTCGTTGCAAACTTGTAGACCATCCGGCTGATAAAAATTTAACAGTACTTTCCTCAGGCATCGCATCACTTTGAGCAAGTTGTTCTTGTCTCGCCTTTCGACGCGTGTATATCAGATTTTTATCGCGATCCACAACATCTTTATCACGACCAGACGCAACATATTCAAGAACTCTTCAAAATGAAAAGTAGAAAAACTATTAATCATTACATTTTTGAAACATTTCTTCGAGAAAAATAACTACTTAATCTTTTGATCTCCATTTGCAATATCAAAGTCTCTTTTAATTCTAAAAAGTATCACGAACGACTGACAAATACTGTACTTACCTTTTCGACAATTGTGCCTTTGTTTTTAACCCCTTTGCTAGATCGCCACGACATTTTAACCAAAAGCGAAGTTCATCTGTTTTAAGAGCAGTCGGATTTCTTCCTTGAAGCGATGCTCCAGGGATATCTTCTTCCGTAAGACTCTGAGAAAGACGGCTACTTACAGAGCCATGAGCGGCCATATTTCTAACACAAGTAAACAAGGCCCAACTAGCCTCATTTTCAAGTTGATCGCTCCCAGTCTCTTTTCGTTCTGCATAGGGTGAATAAGAAAAGCTAATGGGATATCTCAATTGGCCTTCCTGTCGAGTTATAAGAACCAGAAATTCAAGTTATTGGGGTAAATTTTGGTCAAGGGAAGCGAAAATCTGTTCGAGTTAGTGGGGTTTTCGAGTTATCGGGGTTCGAGTTATCCGGGTAAAAATGACTGAAAAGTTAGTTCAAATCCAAGGGAATTGAGACTCTGTTCAAGTTAGCAAGGTTGTTTGAGTTACCGGGGTTCTACTGTATATCAATTACTCAAACCAAGTAATCATTAGTACAACTGGTGCATAAAATTTGGAATTTTGATTTTTTTTTCAGTGCTTTTACAGCACAGATCCATGGCATCAGAGCAAAAAGGTTTGTACTCTTATTGTTATTTTCCCACTTCACAAGAATATGTAAACTAAATTTTCCATTTATAATCTTCCAATTTCATTTACTTCAGTTCTGATTTTTTGTGTTTCTTTTTAGATACTCCACCTGGTTTTGTGCACTCAGTGTCACCAATGAAAAAAGGAAAATCTGGTACAGATTACTATACATTTAGCTTCCAAACATCTCCAGATAAGTTTTGCAGTATTTGTTCCGGAGTTGAAACGATTTATTGTCTCTACGAAGGTTTGCATTGAAACCTCAAGCTCCCGTGCTGAATACTCTGAAACAGCTGGGAATTTTAAGGTACAGAGGGCAAGGCAGGGTTAAAAACAGAGCAGCAGACGCTTTTTTGAATCCTAACGAGAGAGCAAGGGATGGTCAAGCCATAGAGGTTGTGAAATCCCGTCGCCTGATGAAGTCCTGTCCCGTTAGAGAACTAAACGCTAATGGATGTCTCACTGCATTACACAGAGCGCCAGTAAAGAGGAAGAACAGCACTTCACTTTTTGCAGTACCTAACTGCATGTTTGTAAACATATGCAGTCTGTCGAAGACCAAAAATAGAGCACGAGCTCCTGTAGCCTTGGAGGCAGATATGCGGAACAATGATATTGACGTGTGCGTCGTGTCCGAAACTCATTTAAAACCGGCATAATCACCGATTATGCAGTCTTTCGCAGGGACAGGAATTGGTTGGGAAAGGACATGCGGAATAAAGGTGGTGTTGCAATTTATATCAGGAAACTCTGACAGTGCTTGATGTTTACTGCTCAACTGATTATGAAGTCATATGCGTAACTTTGCTTCTTCCCATGGGACATCGCTTTTTAGTCTGCGGTGTTTACAATCCTCCAAAGCACAGTTACAATGAAGGTGACTTAATGAACCATCTACTGTCTTTTGTGGATCAAACAATGGACTCTCATCCCGGGACTGTTGTTGTGTGTGGTGGGGATTTAAATCAAACAGTTTGAACAGTTGACTGGATGGAATGCCTTGGTAGATTTTCCCACGCGTGGAGAGTCTAGATTAGATAATTGTCCACCTGGTCCTTTGAGCCGGATTGGAGAACAGAATGTCCAAAAAGAATGTGAGAGCTGGCCATCGAGGATTTTTAGCAGGTTGACAATCACGAGAGGAAAGGAACACCAGCTGTGGAACTTGAGCGACTTGCTGAAAGCCCTGGGAGGTGAAATCGAACTCAGGGAAGAGTACAATGACAACACATGCCACAGGGACTTCTGGAAAAGGAGTGATGTTCCACCGTCAACAATGATGTACGTAGAAGCTGGAAAAGAAACGAACTGTGCCTTTTGCTTAGAAAGTCACCTGCATGAAGACTGCCACAGGATCAAGGACGTTGAGGAACGTAAGAAATTGTTATCTAAGTTTGGACGTTGTTTTAATTGTTTAACAAAGGGACATTTGGCAAAAAATTGTAGCGATCGTAAGAAAGTAATTTGCAAATACTGTAAGGGAAAGCACCACTCGGCGCTTTGTGTAGAGTCCCAAGGGAACGTAGAAACGCAAGAGAATCAGCGGGTCCCAGTTAATATAGAATCAGTGGGAATGACAACAACTGGGAATAGTATGCATGTTTCGACGGGAAATTCTGTTGCGTTACAAACCGCCCAAGCCCAAATAGCGGGTAAAGGTACATTGAGAGTCAGGGTCCTTTTTGACACCGCAAGTCATAAGTCATATGCTACGTCACGGGTTGTGAAATCGTTTGAATTAGAAACCCTTAGGAGGGAATGGCTCACTGTTAATACCTTCGGCCAAAGGGCCATGGGATCCAACTTTCGAGATGTTGTCGGGATAGATTTAACCCCGGTGGGGGGAGGGAAAGTTATGAGAATCGAAGCTTTTGCTGTTCCCGAAATCTTGCAAGTGCGCAATGAACATCTAGAGATTGCATGCAGAAATTACCCGCGCTTGGCGCAAATATGGCTGTCCGACGTTTGCAAGGGTAGCGAACAGTTAGAAATAGACTTGTTGATAGGGGCAGATTATTTGTGGAGTTTCCAGACAAGTAATGTAGTACGGGGGAAGGTAAACGAGCCAGTTGCAGTGCAGACAGAGTTAGGATGGGTTATTTCCGGGCCCTTGTCATATGAACAGCCAGCATATAGAGCACAGGAAGTC